GTCATATATTAGAAAAATACATTCACGCATGTGATTTTTTTTTAAATATGAAGAACAATTAAAAATTTGGAGTATTCAGCTAAGAAACGAAAATCTCCAACCGTCTACCCTTGGACACATATACACAAAATATTTGGACACTTGCTAATTGATTCGTAATGCAAATGTGCTCGAAATTCAACTTCATCTTCAACAAGAAAAGATATATTTTTGTGTATTATAAAAAAAATTAAATCAAGTCTAGAGGATGTGTCCTAATATTTACTTCAAATTATATCTCTCGGTCACGTGGCGTAAGTTAACTAAGATTATTTTTAATTTGGATAACCGCAACCTCAAATTAGTTATGCATAATTTGGCCGTCGTTATGTTAGTTACACTAACTATCGTTATCGTTTTCGTCGCAAATCGATGTATTCGTTAGCTGTTTTATTTATAAATTATTTAATATTGTGTTGTCGTTTTTTTTTCGTTTTATTTTAAGGTGAATTTTAAATTTTTACCCCGTTGGCTTTTAACTTTAAAAAAATCTTAGACATTTGTGTTTTTGATTTGTTTGTTTCAATTAAGGGTTAATCAATTCTTTGGTCAAATTTGAGTTGTAAAGATGTTTAATTTATATCAACTAGTGTATATACGGTAAGAACATAAATAAATACTTTTAACACAAATTTATATAAGATTATTAATTATCAAACGACGGCCAACATATTCCTAAATAATAAAACTATAATTAGCATATTAATTTAAATAAAGATGAAGCGATAGACTCCAAAAGTTAATATGGTTATATTTGTGCATATATACTAATTTAAATTTTGATACAATAATAGATTGAATAGGATATAGAATATACTTTACTATATTTTAACTTCCAAAGATTCGAATCTAAAATAACAGCGCGTGAAAATGGTTGACTTTTCAACCTGGAATTTAGACCCGATGAGTCAGGTACCGGAAATGACGAATCGATTCTTCACATTGGCATCGATTCCAGACTAATGCAATATTTGCTCAAGTCTCTACAGCTTGTAGGTACCTGATAACTCGGTCTGGTGCGTGGGTTTGTATAAGGTATCGATTCGTTCATTAGTGGGCAGATATGAGTAATTGTGATGTTCTGCTAGTTGGGGGGTGAGTAGAGTTTAAAACAACCCGCGGGGATGGATTAGTCCTATGCGTGTATAGGTATTGATTTGTATATCAAACAAAAGCCTGATATTAGTTTAGTTATGAATAGATCGCACTTGGCTAGGGAAAATTGCGATTGCGAAAAAGGACAGTAAAATAAGACTATAGAAAATTTAGAAAATACTTTGTTTATTTTTTTAATCTAGGACTTTAAATGTTTTGTCTTTTATAGCTTAGGGTTCAATTGTTGGTGAATTTACATTTAAATACCAATAGTAGCAATTTAAAAAAAAAAAAAAAAAAAAAAAAAAAAAAAAAAACAACTTTACTTGAAATGGTTAGTTCAAAGACAAGCCAAGTAAACGATGTAATTTCTGATTGCAACTCAACTGGGCGGTCGGAGCATACAAGACCTTGACATTGGCTTCCATCGTACAGTGTTTCTATTTTATCTTGTACGCTAGTCGCAACAACGCCACCTCCACCTCCCAGAAGGCGTTGGCCGAATTTCGGCTTCTCCCGCCTTCGCCGTGTCTGGCCATCTTTAGACAACTTCACCCTATTCAGACCCTTCGGTGCGCACCAGGACATGCAACACGCCCGCCATGCGCACCACGCCAGCAAGGCGCACCACACCAGATCGCACCAGCACCACAACCGTGCGCGCCATGGGCACCGTCACCACATGCACCATCGACACCAGCACATGCATGGGCATGGACAGCAGCACGGGAGTGAGGGATCCACCGGAGGAGGAGGAGGGGGTGTGCAGCTCAGCGGAGGAGGGGAAGAGGAGGTTGAGATAGGGAAGTATGAAGAGATAGCAGGAATAGCCATACAGGGAGAGGGGTGAGGCTTATAATTTGTGTTTTTACAAATAGCATCAATTATAATATGTTTATTTACCGTGTACTTTACAAGTTTTTATTTCATACAAAAAAGGCATTACATTTCTATTTATAAATATGATTTTTATGATTTCCTGGAATTAGAATTTCAACAATTTCGATTCTTGTTTTATTTTTATTTTTATTTTAATAAATGTTACTATTTATAGACTCGTGTATTAATTCGCTCTGGTTTTTGTTTCATTCGTATTATCGTGATATTGAAAAATGGAAAAAAAAAATGTTCCCACTGCCTTCATCAATCATTAAGATCAATTATTTGTGGAGATGGGAAAGATGGCGAGGGGAGGGGGGATTATTATCAAGCTCTGATATGCTCGAGAATTGAAATGCGTTTCATGTTATGAAGAAACAGGAACTTCTGGGTAATTTAGCTGTTTGTGATGTTAAAACCAGTACCGTGAAGAAACCCTGGCTAAGACACACAATCTAGAACATCCTTTATTCATATAGCTAGAATCTATCTCTATCTTTTATTTTGCATTTATTTTAAATTATTACTTTTTTTTTTAAAGTATTCAAAATAATGTGCTTCTGTATGTGAAATTGACAAAAAATAGTCATAAAATAGTATATATATATATATATATATATATAAATATAAAACTATTGATGAACGATAGTGTATTGCTCTTGTGTAGTGTGTACCATATTTTCCCCCGGCTTCACTAAAATAAAAAGAGACATATAGCTCAATGCGAGAAATCGATACCTCTTCATTTTTATCTTCTCCGGCGATACAGAGAAAATTACAAGGCATTGCCCGAGCGCCGGGCTCTAACTCGGCGTCCGAGGGAATCGTTGCTTGTAATCACGCAACGATACCACGGGCCAATCGCACATTTACCCGAGCGTAGTCGAACTCTTCAGTACTTACTTCCCTTTAGCTGATCGTTAGTACGGTGTCAGTTTTGTTAGTCCTATTTCGCCGTGTCTGTCTATTCTTCCTCCATCTTAAAGTTTGAATCTTGTTGGGGTGTTTTTTTTTTTGTTCTCCCTCTGTTCTTTTTCCCAGTTTAACTGTTGGGATTTTGTTAGTTTTTTTGGGCTCAATTTGTCCGTTCTTCCCTAGCTAGACGCATGTCTTTTATTACTTTTGTTGCCTCAATTTGTTCGTTCTACCCCTGTATGTATTTTGTTAGTTTTCTGCTTCCCCCCCCCCCCCCCATCTTGCTTATCCTCTCACTAACCTTACTAAAGTGACAGTCAATCTCAAGTGTGGTCAGGACTATCCCCTCCCCCCCCCCACATTTACCCCCACCATCACAGCCATATCCCGTTAAGCAACAGACATGATCAGCAGTGCTCTGGACGCTCAAAAACTTTCAGCATCACCAATCGGCAATTCTATTTTTTATTAAATCGCTATGTCAAACATATATCCTACGCCACTTACTGATGTTCTGATACTCTTGTTAAATCTATTGTAACGCTGATGACATTTTGTCGTCTATACTTTTGTTAAAATCTTAGCTGTAGCTTTTGTTTTAAATCCATAATTTTGGCTATATATATATATATATATATATATATATATATATATATATATATATATATATATATATATATATATATATATATATATATATATATATATATTTATATATATTTATTTATTTATATATATACTTTAGAATCTACCGTAAATTAACCCACCCCATGTGACCCCCCTCCTGCACATTTGCCATCGTGCATTCGAATATTTCAGACCCTTGTTAATTCGTCTTGAGTTAATTTTCACCAAACCCCCACCGCTTTCTCATGAAACCGACGCCCTTAACGACTGGGGGAGGGGGCGCCCTCAACCACTGGGGGACGCCCTCAGAAACATGACCAATTATCCAGGGGCGCACCTCCCAACCTGACCAATATACGAGGGTGTGATTTAATCATTCGGGATTTTTTTTTTCCCGGATTGGTTTTGACACCAGGGGATCCGAAACTTGCCAAATTCCTTACTCGCAACTCTCATGTAATATTATCCTACACTCGCACTCCCCAATCTAAGCCAGTGCGAGCGAAGAAATTATTCATTTTATAGCTTATTCCCCAAAGACGTGTCTTCTTTCTATTTAAAAAAAAATCTATTTACTGTATCTTCCAGTTACTAAACGAATAAAAACGCCTCAGCTTAATATATATAAAAAAATAAATCCTTTCTATAAATATATTGTTCTATAAACAGAATCAGTTATTATCTTAGAGTAGCCTACGTCATAGCTGTCAATGACGTCACAAAGGCCAGTAACGTCAACATTGACCACGTGACTTTCTTTACCCAAACTGTCTCGTCACAGCAAGCCAACGTGTTATTATCTGCCTACGTCATATTCTATTTTGGTAGACGTTTTCTCCCAATATAATTTTAATAACTGCTTAACTTACTGATCTATTGAATAGAGATAATCATAGCGTTTGTTTCCTTTCCAGTGTTTAAATGTTTTCTTTAGTCTTCGATTTTCCCTTTCCTTGCGGAAAATAAGATACATTCGCAACGCCTTAAGAATAACTTTATTTTGATCGTTTTAAACTGTGAGTTGGTTTCTATGATAAGGTTTAAGATTATTTTTGTAGCGGCCTTTCTAAACAATATTGATTTTTGTTTTCGTGTTATAAAATATATAGGCTATACTGTTTTAATTTTGTATTTTTATTTGCAATGATTTGTTTTTTGATGTTGTTATAAAGTCGAAAATTATTGTGTACAGATTTAGTCTACTCTACTTTCCTTGATAATATATGCTGTTATTATAATATTGTTGTTTATTATATATAAGCCTATATATATATATATATATATATATATATATATATATATATATATATATATATATATATATATATATATATATATGCATAGCCAATAATAATTATAACTATAAACATATCTACATTTTTAAGGCTGTATTTACAAAATATAATACGTTTTATATCTAATTCATGAATTATTTCCCTTGACAGGCTTGACAGCGTTTTGGGTAGCTTCGCGACGTACGCACGTCTAAAAGGCCGGTATGACGATGACTGGATTGACCGCCTGAACCACCTCTACACCACCATCATACTCATCATCTTCACCATCGTGGTCAGCACCAAGCAGTACGTAGGCGAGCCCATACACTGCTGGTGTCCGGCCCAGTTTGAAGAAAGCCACGTAAGTGAACCTTTGTGTTTTTTGTGTTGTTTTCCGCGAAGTATGAGTTCAATCTTGCTTCGCGGAGTTAAAATTCAAAACTTCTCTATGAAGTTAACATTCAGTCCTCTGCAATAAATGGATCGCATTCTTCTTTGCGAAGGCTTGATTAAAATTTTGTCAATTAATTGAAAAAAGAAATTGTTGCTATTTTTACATAATATTGTAAATATTTTACTTAAAAAACGTACGTATCATACAAAATATTTTTACATAATATTGTAAATATTTTACTTAAAAAACGTACGTATCTACAGTTATAGATGAAAAGAAAATGTAAACTTTGATATGTAAATCTGAAATTATGTCCAAATCGATAGAACTAAAAGAAATAGAAATGTGGTAGTTTTTTGAAAAAAAGAAACGTTCTCTCTCGAAGTTCGTCTGTAGCAGGGGATGAAGTATTTAAAGCATTCCAGGTCTGGCATAGCTCTAGCAACACGAGCACATTGATACCGCCATAGTAGGAGCAGACACAAAATGCTGTTTCAGTATTCAAGAAAATTGGTACCCGCTAACAGGAAGAATATTTTTCAACGCAAAGCTACATGTTGGAACTATGGTGACGCTATTTCTACATAATGATGGAGATCCACACGAATGGAAATAAAGTTTCCTGGAGCGCAATGAGTTCTGGGTGCATAAAAAACAGCGTTGATATATTTCAGCTGTTTCAAATCAAAGCCAATAATTTTTTCATGAATAATGAATTATTTCTAATTTCGTATTTTAAGGGGTGTGCATATATTATTTAACTTAAATGAGATTCATTATGGTGTTATTCTGTGCTTTCTGAGTAGTGGAAGTAGAAATATAATCTATGTGATAATTTGATTTCCTTCTGTCTTTTTTTTTAATAAAGCTTATTAATTTGATAGCATGGAAAAGTCAACAGATTTGTATAACACCATCGATATAAGACTTTTCAACTAATTGTAAAGAACATAGAACAATAGTTCTTGTTCTCTGCTTACTTTATGTGATTCTTATAAGTAACAGAGTTGAACAATAGAAATCTCGTTGCATCAAATCAGGGCTTTAGACTGTGGTTGGAGGGGGGGGGGGGGGGGAGGGCGTATGATTTGGTTCCTAAAATACTAACATAATTTGAAATTTTAGAATAAACAATATTCTACTTTATGCTGTACAATATATGCACGAACCCTAACATACATTGTATGTACCTCTTTAAATAATATCATCTTTTACCACTTGTATATACAACTTCGGACTCTTGAATTAACAATATGTATCTTCACATGAACTACTTCTCTATCTAAAACATCTTAACCTTCACCTTCAACCCCCCACCACCCACCCCCTTGCACCTGGTGTTGACCACACCCCCTCCACAGGTCGACTACACCAACAACGTTTGCTGGGTGTCCAACACCTTCTACGTTCACTTCAAAGACCAACCTCCCCGCTACACAGACCTCAATAGTGACCTTGAGATCCAGTACTACCAATGGGTTCCCATGATCCTCCTCTTCCAGGCCTTGCTGTTCAAGGTAGCCGTGACGTCATCGGGTGGTTGCTGTGACGACGCTCGTTCAGTCGTTGTGTTGCTGCCTTATTTTTGTTTTGTCTTAAGGAGAATGGTGCCGCAATAAAAAAGAAGTTTCTAATTTTCTTTATCAAAGCATACAAGACATGACGGATTCAATTTTTTTTACGAAATCTAAAATATTTTTTTTAAATATTTTTTTTCAACAGATACAGTTTGTTTTGTTTATGTTCCAGCTACGTGTTATGTTTAGTTACTTCCCTTGGAATGATGGATATAATTGTCTCCCCTTATGTTGTTGACTAGAATTGTCTTTCTTTCAGTGTTTCTAGACTGGAATTACTTCCCCTGTACATCAAACAAACCTAATGCCAATTTTCTGCAGCTGTCAAAGTTTGCGTTCTACACTTCAGATAAAAAAAAAATATTTTTTTCTAAAAAAAAAATGAAAAAATAAATAAAAAAACATACCTAAATTTAAAATTAAAAATCATCAATTTTTCATCCCAATCTTCATCAGGTTGATTACACAAACAACGTATGTTGGGTAGCAAACACACATTTCGTACCCTTCGACTCCATTCCACCCAGAGCCCCCGAGAGGCCTTTAACGGGCGAAGTGGAATATTACCAATGGGTACCTATGATTCTCCTTTTCCAGGCTCTTCTCTTCAAGGTAAACTTTTTCTATTCCACATTTTCGTTTCTAAAAAAAAATCTCTTCCATACCCTAAAGTCTAGTCAACGTGGTAGATAAATAAAAATACATTTTCTCATTCCTGTTTATATTGTCTGCGCTTTCGTTGTCTTCTTTGGTGAAAAATATATACACAAAACATGTTTCTGTCAATACAGCATATATTTTTTTTTAATGTGAAAAAATAGCTTTTTTTCTGATACATTATCTATGACTTACACATCTCTATTTTTCTACACAAGAAATGTAATATCAAAATTTGAGAAATATTTTATCAAAATTAAAAAAATTACAAAGGTAAATGTGCAACCTTTGTCGATAAAATTGAAAAAATAAAAAACGGAAAAGTCGATTATCACGACTCACACAACTTCATGTAAGCTGTCCCTGAAAACACAACCCTAAACGTGGATCCTTGTGTTGTAATGTTTTGGTAAATGTAGTAAAAACCTATTCAATAACTGTTAAACATTTTTTAAAGAAAAAAATAAATTGAAATTTTGAAAACATTTAAATATTTTACATTCAGATATATTGCTTAAACGCTGGTTTGTCAACTTAAATGAAAATAACATAAAAATGATAATAAATTACGGTTGGACTATTCATAACATAAATAGTTCTAAATAAATAGATAAAAAATAATAGAAACATTATATTTAACAAAAAGTGTAGGTCTACAACAGTATCATTAAGAGCAATCTAATTAAACTTAAATTGTTTTTAGAAAATTCATCGTCCATGAATGTTGTATTTCTTTTTTGCATGAGTTATATGTATGTCAATCAACGTATGTATTTAGGATAATGAAAATTAATATGGCTGCTAGTGTGCAGTTGTGTGTTATTTTTTTAATTTGTTAAAATATTCTTTTGTTTGTTCCGTGTAGCTTTAGAATTCGCGTGTATTATCTACGTGTTTCTCACATTTAAAAGCAATCTTACATATTAGAAATTAAAAGAATAAGAATTAAAAAATAAGTAACATGAGATAAATCGCAAGAGACAGCGAAACAAAATATATTGACTTAGATATGTAGCAACTACAGATTATAGTGCTAATATACAAACACTCGAAAAAAATCTATATTTCTCGAACGTTCCAACAGTTTTTAAAGTAAAGTTTATTTTCTGACTACTTACAAATTAAAATTCCAATTTATCTTTTCCCTGATATTAAAAATCTTTTATGACTTTTTGCAAGGTAAACTTAAATAATTAACTTGTATTTTAAAGGCAATTAGCGAAACTCTGATTTAATGTCACAGGTTGACTATAATTGATTATTCAGCAGCTCCATCAATTATCAAAATTAATACAACTTTTTAAAATTTCAGTTCCTTTTAGCATGGAAAATATTAATTATCTTTTAATTAAGTGTTGCAATAATACTGAGTGCATTCGGTTCGAAATTACCATACATCTTGCGAGATAACGAGCGACGTTGTCTTATGGAAGATATAACCATAACGATTATGGTGCTCTAGACTCTAGAAAATAAAACTTCATTTGTTCTACTCAGCTATAATAGGTATTTAACTTCGATCGAGGAATCGGCTACGCATGGCATTAGCTATACAATTCCGTTCATATTCAAAATTCGGAAATAAACACTAATAATATACTTATGGAAGACAGGTTTATAATTTGGGCATTAATTCATAATGAGTGCTGCTTTTTCGTATTTCCCGAATACCATCTTTATGTGTGTAGACGTTTGTTTGGCTTACTTCTTTCATATTGCAAAACTCAGAAATAAACACTAATTTACATCGCTAATTGACGAAAGGTTTAAGTTGAGTACGTAATGTGTGCTGCTCTATTGTATTTCCTGTGTTGTTCTGTGGACCATGTTTATGTGTGTGGATGTTTGTATGGCTTCCTTCTGATTCTGTTGAAATTATATTCTGAGAAAACCTAACATACTGTATTTTGCTTCATTATTGCTGGCACCATTCTCTATGACTTTGTTTTAAAGTTATGTTTTTCGTGTTTTAACTTAACCTTATGTATTCATTTTTGTAAATGTAGTTTTAACAGTAGATCATTGAAATATATTCTTAAATGTAATGAGACTACTATTTTGAGAGGTAATTGTAATAGATTAAATCAATATCTACAGTCAAAATAAAAAAAAAAACAAGCAATTTTAGAGAAAAAACAAAATATTTTGAAATTTGTTATAAGTTTATGCTTTATTGTTTAGTTTTAGGGCATTGAGAGGGGTGGGGGTGGGTATAGACTAAATATTTTTACTAATTTAAAAAAAAAATCATGAAAAAATTTCTAACCTTGACCTTTATCCCACGGCAGGTGCCTTGTATACTATGGCGGATCCTAACGGCATCAGCCGGTGTCAATCTAGACAAAATCGTCACCCTGGCTGCAGAGACGGCATACGTCGCCCCGGACGATCGAGACCGGACGATCAAACACATTGTCCGATACATGGACCGGTGGATCGAAAACGCCCGGGAATACCGGTCCGGCTGCTTCATCCGACTGCGTCAACAGATATCGAAATACTGCTGTATAGTATGGGGAAAACGATACGGCAACTACCTGGTCACCTTGTACATGATCATCAAGCTCCTCTACCTAGCCAACGCAATAGGACAGCTATTTATTCTAAACGAATTTCTTGGCACGAACTTTAATGTGTACGGCTTCGAGGTGATGGACCATCTGGCGCGCGGCGAGAGCTGGTCGGAGAGTCCGAGGTTCCCCCGCATCACGCATTGTTTCTTTAAAATTCGCCAGCTAACCAACGTCCACGATTACACAGTCCAGTGCGTCCTGCCCATCAATCTTTTCAACGAAAAGATCTTCATCTTCATCTGGTTCTGGCTCGTCTTCGTCGCCACTCTCAGCACATTCAATTTCCTCATCTGGGTCTACACCATGATCTTCCGGCAGCATCGACTACGCTACCTCAAGAAATTCCTCCGCATCAACGATTGTTACAAGTCGGAGCTGGATAAGAAAATGGCCGTCAAGTTCTGCGAGCAGTACCTGCGGCAGGACGGGATCTTCGTGCTCCGGCTGGTCGGAAAAAACGCCAACGACGTGCTGGTGTCGGAGCTGATCCTGCAGCTGTGGAACCATTACCGGAACAAGCCTTTGTTCAGGCACGCCAACCAGATCAGTGACGACAACAGCAATGTCTGACTAACCGTTCGAAAATGGAAGGCGGTGCAAGCGCTCTCGGGCTGGCTGGGGATCAAGTCCGTCACCCTGACCCCCACCGACGACAACCACCTCCATCACATCGGCAACAACTACAGCTTTTACGGGCACAACCATCAGGACGCGGGGTCGGATTGCTGCGGTCAAGACGTGGAGTTGGTTGGCTTCAGTACGTTTCCAAGGCAGAACGGCTTTTTGGATTCTTACGTGAACGGAATCAACGGACCGGAACCGATGTCGGAAATCGGGTCCGATTCAGAGTTATCCCGTGTATAAAGTTAATAATTTGGGAGCAATCTAACCATCATATAATATTAATGTTGTCTTCATTAAGCCATTTTTGCAGATTAGTTGCATTAGAACTGCACTTTAAAGTAGTATAACTGCAGTGATTATTTAAATTTAAAAAAGCGGACATTATATAGATGAGTGGAGAAGGTACTAAACTGAGAGAGATTATACCTTTGTGTACATTAGAATTTGTTTGCTAGGGTCTATTAAATCTGATGAAAAAAAAAACGATTTTCGCCGGTTTTGATCCTCAAAATTTCAGAAAAAAAAATGTAGGCCTGAGTAACCTACATTTCGGAATTTTTATTTACATGACTAATTTCCTTAAACTCATTTGTCAGAAGCTCATCTATCATAAGTTTATATTAACTTAAAAATATAGGCCTACTACAAATAAGCAAGCTTTGGACACTAGACTAGATCTAGATGTAACTAGATTTAGATTCTCAAAGATTGACAAAGGCCAGAGACAGGCTAGGCTAGGCCTGTTTCGTTTGAAATTAAAAAAAAACAACCTAAAATACAGGAACCAAAACGAAACAAAAGATATTGTGACCAGTGAATTTGTGAATAATAGTAAAGATATTAATTTCATTATGTTGGCGCTTTTCAGTTTATTTCACTAAGACTATTCGCAGCTGTGAAGGAAAGTGTGATATTGAGGATGGTGTTATTTATTTTAGTTGATTTTACCTCCGTGCGACTGTGTTAAACTTCTGTTAAAATGTGGATCTTATTCTAGATTTAGTCACGTATATTCACATATTTTCACTTAATGAGAGAGATACTTTCACTTCTACAAAATCTTGATAGATCTAGATCTAGTCTCAACTTAAGAAATTCTAGTCACACACTGTATCATAGTCTAGATTCTAGGTCTAGTGACTTATTAGTCATCTAGTGCTAGGTCTAGATCTGTATTTTTAAAAATGTGCACCAAATATAAATAATATAATTCTCCCTCTGTTTTTTAAATTACATATTTTCATTTGTTAAAAACCTTAAGTGGTTTTATTGAAGTGAAAGAAGAAATTAGATCTAGTTACTTTAATTTAGTTTAACTAACACAACAATAAAAGGCCTTATTTATTATTTATATTTATAGTAAAAATGAAAATGATGGTTCTACTTCATTAATAAATTAACAAACACATTGAGATTACATTTAGAGATGGTAAAACCTCATCAGTGTTATGTCTAGCCAAAATTATTGAGTAGTTGGTCTACATTAAGATTCTAAGTCTTTAAAATTAGGGGTTTACTGTGTGTCATGGACTTTTGGTGTGTGCTATCACTCAGTCCATTTAGTCACAACGTTATTAAGATTTCAGCAAAAACCCTTATGGTTTATGCACTTATAACTCCACCAGATCCATTTTGTGGCCTATCCCGCTTAAATCATGAAGACAGAAGCATTCTACTTGATACATAATCAAGTGAATGATATGGCAGCAAATCAAGTGAATGCTACTTATCTGCATTATGGAATATCAAGTCTAAATGTGGAACTTGAGAGTTAAACACTGCAACTTTTGACCACTGTAAAGGCTAGAACAAGATGGGAATATTTGGATTAAATTTTACTCTTAAATAAAAATATAAAAAAAAACCATATATGTACAAATAAATTCACATTAAAATAATTACATAGGTCTAGAATAAAAATAAAACACTGTAGGCTAATTTATTTAAAATATAGGCCTACAATTAGATAAAAGATGAATACTGTCAATAGATATATTTCCAAGTAAAAGAAATAAATCTTTTAAATCCAAATAGTGGCATACTTTAGCTCCATCCATTTTGTAAAATCTGCCCATCTGTGTAATTAGAATACATGTAATTAACAATACTTTAATACTGATAGCAGGGAGATAAATATGATTTGTGATCCTAGATGTAAAAAAAGATTTCCAATCAGTTAACAAACATCTTACCTTTACTGTTTTTCTTAATTACTACTCCTCGTATACTGTTTGTAATTTGATTTAATACTTTTTTCTGATATTGTGATTATTATAACCTTTTTTGGTTAGAGTGTAATATAATATAATGCTTTAAATATCCTAATTATTTTGCCACAAGTAGTGATACCTATTATATGATTTTTTTTCTACACCAAAAGATTTACAAAGGGGACCCAAAATTGTGATTGTGTCTAAATTGAATGTTTTTTTTTGTTATAACACTGTTACAAAATCAATCATTATGTGATGGATATTCCTCGCTTTTGTTACTGAAAGTAAAATTACATTCTTATGTATTAATACACAGATTTATATATATATATATTATATATATTGAAATATAAATATTCAACATTGACAAAAATCTAGCTGTATAATTGCTTAATATAACATACATAAACCATTTTTTCACTAGCACAAAAGAATTAAAATGATAAATAACCATATAAAATTATTGTGAATATCTTTTAATAAAGATTATAAGAAAATAATTAGTTCATATGTCAGTTATTTGGTTCAAAATAATGTTATGTTAAGATTTTTGTGGAAAAAAATATATGTTAGGAGTTTAGTTTAAAAAATGTTATCAAGTGTTTTATTTTTCAAAAGTGTATTTAAAAATTGAGCGCTTGGAAAGTTTTAGATTTTATTTGAAGACATATCTTAATCCATCTAAAGCTCAACTGAAATCAGAAATTTTAAAAGTGTTGTGTGAACCCAAATGTGGTTTGAAACATTTCCTAATTATGAATATTATTTATTTCATAGCCTTCAATACAGACTAATAGTATTCAGATCAAAATAACAAATTATGAATTAAACTTATAAAATTTAAGCCAAGTATGCATTACACCACATTAAAAAAAAATTATATAGACTTCTTATAAAATGCTGCAACCTTGGAGCCATAAACATTTTTTTACATTTAGTACTTATATATGTATGCTTTTATTACAAACAAATAAAGTTAATGTTGATTTTTAAAACTCTTGATTAAACTATTGGTAACTAAAAACTAATTTAATGAGAGACTGTAAACTATTATTCATTTTAGTTTGATAAATGGTAAACACTTTGGGTTATGTTGAATATATAAACAATTTCGTAGATTTTTTTTCCATCAATTGTTTTTGACATGGTTCCCAAAGTTTTTAAAGTTTAGACTTATTTGTGCTTAAGATAAGGAAGTCTGCAATCAAATGTACAGGACTGATTTTTTATTTCTACATAATAACTGTTGATAAAAAAATGTTCCTAAATGTAATTTGTTTTCTGTATTGATTTTTGTTTTAAATTGAATGCTGCTTTTGTGATATAACTTATATTTCTTACACTGTTTTCTGTCAGGTTTTAAGCTAGAAATAAATAGTTTGTTTAATCTATTATTTTACGAATATATGTCTTATATTTTTCTTTACATATAGGTTATATAAATAGAAAATAAATATGTTGACACCATTTTGTTAACAGAAGCTGCCCACTAAAAAGTTAAATTAGCCTAAGTATCAGAAAGATGAGTTTAATTTTTATTTCTCTTGCTATGTTGGCAGTTATTTGTTAAATTGTGACTGTATCTAACTTCCATTCCTACACAGCTTCTATTGTCATATCAAGTCTGTCCACCTTTACATTCAGGGCGGTATTAGATTGTGTGATGAATGGTATTTCTAGTCACAACCTCAGTAGTGAATGATTTCTCTATTAAAAGCCAACAGAATGGATGGTTTCTCTAGTTAACTGCAGTTTGACAGATTATGAAAACAAAATAATAAACAGAGCTGTGATTGTAATGCATGTCTTAGTTGAGTTTAAGACTGTTTAGATTTTGGTTGATCAAGTAATTTAAATGAAGTTTTGTGTATGTAATTATAAATTCTTAATTTATTGATTAATGCACTTGGAGATAATGACAATATGATTGGATAAACTTGTCCAAAGTTGTAGTTTAGAAACATTGTTGTTATTGACTGCAAATGTTTCATTCCTTTTTATAAAATGTTAAAATATATACATCATGTATATCGTCTTGTTGAATACTAATTACACCGAAAACAGCTATTCATAGTGATCTAAACAATTTTTAGATACATGAACAAAGCATTATAATTTTGCAGTTTAAGTTAACTTTGGAATTTTTTTTTGGAACAAAAAAAGATTAATTTATGATTTTGATAAATTAGAAAAGCAATTATGGAGGTAATTTGGTTTATGATTAAGAATATTTTCAGTTGCATGGTATAGAAAATGCCATCTTAAAACACTTTTTATAGCAACATGTTATGTTTAGGTCCTTATGAAATTAACTTGTTTTGTCCTTGCAATAAACATTAACATTTTGACATTGATCATGTATAAATAAACGTCACATTTCTTATATTATTGAAAACATTCTTATAACTCTGCAACTATGACTAGCGTTGTGATAAATCATTCTTGTTTCACAGTTTTTTTTAATCACCAAACAACTAACAACTCATTTGATTTTAATTGTTTAATTTAATTTTTTTCTTTTATAAAGTGAAAATTTTGTCTTGAAAACATTTATAAATTCTTAATTTTCCTACTTCTAAATATGATCTGTTATTATTGTTTGATATTTTTTTTTTAAATTTTTTTATTTGAAAAAAACACACCTACGTCCTGTAATAAGGTGTGTAAAGGAAATATCTTCCTAATCATAATCTGAAACAGATACCATGAGACTGTGTTTAAATAATAATTTTTACTATAACCTAGATACAAAAATTATAGAGAATCAAAATCAAGTAAAATTAACAGAACTTTATTTAATCTTTAATCAAAGTGTTAACTAATGTCTAGTTGTTCCTGGGAAAACGCAAAAAAAATTATTATAACATTTTTTAGCTATGTTTTTATATTTTATTTATTTCATTTTAAATAAGTATACTTACTTTGTACATCCTATTATATTTCATGAGCATTATGACTTTAATATAATGCATTAACCAGGATTGCATGTATTTTTGCGTAAATGCACAGAGTGAAAGGAAAAATAACGAACTTTGCTTTATATCTAAACTTAAATTGTCTTATAGTTTTAATTTATTCCCAAAGTAGTATAAAAGACAACCATACTATCATCCATTTTATTTTTGTTTTCACTGTAAAATATTATATACTTCAGTAAAACTATTCCCTTGTAAAAAGATTATTATTTCTATTATCATTCCACACCGTATTCGTCAGCTTCTGCACTATTTTTTTATTCACCTTAACTTATAATCATTTCTAGACAAACAAATGCATTATTTATTTTATTTGTAAATGAAAACCTTTCTGCATGTAAATTTTTTCAAGTTTTCTTTAGCCTGAACTGATCTGTTGTGTAATGTAACCTGTGAGCGATTTTCAGCACTGTTATAAAGTTGTAAACAAAAAAAAAAATAAAGTATTCTATAATAGCACATTGAAACAATTTACTACCTGCTAAATTAAAATCTGTTTGATGTTTTGTTTACTTTTATGTCTAGTTAAGTCAAACTGTTTAAGTTGTTTTTATTTTTATTTATTTTTTTTGGATGGTTTGCCTTGAACTATATAATCTAAGCCTTTGCGTTTAACTTAACTTTTTTTTTTCCAATGTTATAGTTGAATACTTTATTTCAAAACTACAACTAAGTCCAGGTTTCTGTTTAACTGTTCATTGTACCAAACTACATTCCCATATATCAGATTAAAATCAAAGTTATCTAAAAACACACACAATGAAAATGATTACAAAAGTGTAAGTTGAAACTTGATTGATTTGAAGGAAAACATTTTGTGGCACACAAATATAATTTATCACTCTATTATTTGTTTACTTTTGCGTAGTTAAAGACTTTTTAAAAATTGTTTATCAATTGAAAATTAAGTTTTTATACTTCCTGCAGTAAATTTGTAAGTTTCAGATGGAAAGAGTCAACTGAAGACAGGTTATTGTAAATAAAGAAAATTTTAAATTTATAGAACCAATTTGAAATGTTGAGTAACCCATTTTATAACTTTTCATAACCACACCATACTGTTCTACTGTTTATTTTTTTTTTAAATCCACTTGTCAGAAATGTAGCTCTGACCTTACAAGCAAAGTTCACTGAGGTATTTTGTAATCAATAATTTTTATAATTTTGTGCATATAAATATCCTTAAACTCTAACAAAATAAACACTAACTTTGTATTCATCTAAAATATAAACAAAAAAGATAAACAAACAAAAATATCTCTGAAGAAAACATTTCCAGCAAGGAACCTCTATAGAGTTATGATGAATCAAATGTGATTGTTATCTGTAAGGTAATTCAGTTTCCATCTAGAAAACTTTTGAAGCAGCATTCATTAATATTGTTCCTACCGTTGTATAAGGTATAAAGCTATAGAATTTGAAATAAGAACAAAAGTGAATTTTCTTTTAAAATGAAGATGTTAAAAATTTTGACATAAGATTTCAAGAAAGTGCAAATCAAGTATTTGTTTAATATTTAGGTATTACCTTCACTCATACCTTATAAATTGTAATTCCTTTACCACTATTCCTTAAATTTACGAGATTACTAATTATTGTATAATGAAAATGAAAGAATCCTTAATAAATAAAG